GGCATTTTGTTCGATCTAATGTTAATATTCGTGATCAACATCGTCGGCGCTTATGTCTGGGTGCTTTTAATTGAAAATGAAAATAAAAAATTTTTCAAAAATCCTGAGGAGGACCACAGGCCTACAACAAAATTTTAATTTTTGTGCTTTAAATGTTTTACTCTTGACAAATCCTTTGAATACTATTACGATGACTTCTCTAATTTTAAAAAAGAGGTATGCAGAGGAGCCACTTGACAATATTAAAAATATAAAGAAATTATTCCATTGACTGTAAGTCTATGGTCATACGAAATAAAGTGTTTGTAAGTCTGTCCGCACAGAGGTGTGACGACACCGCTGTGTGTAAGCACACACGGCGACCGCCATACACCCTCATAGTCATCTAATGAGTGTGACAAACGCACATACATATAGTCATGTAGCAGTGTAACGCAGGTACATACATATAGTCATGTGCCGTGTGACGGACGTACATACATATGGTGACCAGGGAGTGTGACAGACGTACATACATATAGTCAAATGGCAGTGTAACGCAGGTACATACATATAGTCATATGTCAGTGTGACGGACGTACATACATATAGTCATATGGCAGTCATATATATAGTGACTACCAAGTGTGGCTGACGTACGTGCATATAGCCATGTGCCAGTATGACGGACGTACATATATATAGTGACTACTGAGTGTGACCGACGTAAGCACACACGATGACCACCGTACATTCTCATAGTCATCTAATGCGTGTGACGGACGTACATACATATAGTGACTATCGAGTGTGACTGACGTACATGCATATAGTCATGTGCCAGTATGACGGACCTACATACATATATTAATAAAATAACAAATCGTCTTGAAACGTCATTATATGTTAAGCCATCAAACACGTTTCAATATTTACAATATACATCATCACATCCTCGTTATGTCACCAATTGGACTACTGCGTTTGTTGAACGAACCCAGCTGAGACATTTAGTATCTGCAGGTCTGAGCCGCAATTCGTAGACTGGCCCGATGGTTGGTCGAACCATCGTCAGTTCGGCATACCAGCAGAATTTGACAGATCGATCCTCACTCGAACATGATCATCGGTCGTCATGTTTAATGCTAGAAAAGCACTTTCAGCGGCGGCAACAACCCGACAATGAATGATCGAGAAACGAAGACGCTTCCACACAATATCAAATAATATATCGAGCAACAGCCTTCTTTTATCGTTCGGCCAATGTATTCAAATAGGCAAGAAGACGAACGGGCATTAAATAAGGACGAGTTTTGATTTTTTCATTATTACGCACACACACTAGCCTCTTTTTCAAGAAGGGCTCCTGTCCTTTAGCTTCGTCTTTTTCTGCTGCCACATCATGTTCCAGCCATTCGCACTGTTTGCTAGCTGGACGACTAGTTCGAACGTCATCTCCTCTCCCTAAGAACTCCGTGTATCTCCACAGGAAATCCATCTTTCTTCC